TTGGGGGCGCAGAAAGAGAAAGATCGTTCACCATATGTTTTAGTGTGTGTCTTGGGAACGGACAGAATACGCGTGTCTGCAGAGGAGCGAAGCTGTCGAAGGGGTGAATAGACAGAAAGAAGTTCGGTTAGATAGGAAGGGCAGGAATCCAAGAAAAAGTTGTGACAGAGAACAGACAACTTGTAGTCAATGCGTGCCTGTATAGGTAGCCAATGAAGGGAATGGAGTAGTGGAGTGACGTGATCACGTTTTTTTGCCTTTAAAACTAGCCTAGCAGCTGAGTTTTTCTATTCAGTGTTTTGGTGAACCTGACAGAAGAGAGTTGCAATAGTCAAGACGAGAGAGAACAAGAGCACAGACTAGAGTTTTTGTAGCGCTAACTGTGAGGTAGTGGCGTATGGAGCTGATCTGATGGATAGTGGTGTATGCTGAACGACAAATGTGAGATATGTGTTTATCGAGAGACATGTTGTTAGAAAGAATATAACCAAGATTCCTAGCAGAGGGTGTAAACCGTACGTCAGAGTTACCTACTTGAAATGAGGTTAGAAGAGTTGAGGTAGAGGATGATGTTTGATTGTGGATGTGGAGTGCTTCCGTTTTGTCATCATTAAGCTTCAACTTGCTGAGTGTCATCCATGACTTGACATCATCAATGCACCCCTGCAAAGTCTGGACAGCGGATTCAACAAGAGAAGGGTGGGTATGCTTGTAAAGCGGCGTGTCATCTGCAAATGACTGGCTCTCAACAGCATGCCTCCCAAGCAAGAGGAGCAGTGGTCTGGTAGCGCTCGAAGTTTTTTTTAACACCAAAGACAAGTGATCGTGCACCAACTGGGAGAATGAATGCTCGGCCTGAGGTCGGCCAAACGGTTGCTGGTGCCCTGCAGCTTAGTTTTGGCGAACCCTTTTAAATATAATCATAAACGGAAAAACTAGTTATTCGGTAATGAGTTTAATAAAACAAACACTGAACAATAAAAAATTTTTTTTAACTTGTTTTTGAACAGTATGAACAATTAGCATACTGACTGATGACATTTTTCTTAGCCTTTAGATCAGAACATCTTTTTTATTGCTATTTCTTTTTTTCTTCCAAATGCCATGTTTTTGCCTATTTTCGAAGATACTTGATGGCGCCCTAAGCACACACCGTGTACTTAAAGTTAGAACACCGTTTCTCAACCTGGACCCGAGGTTCACGCTTCACTATCATAATAAACGAAGGGAATTTAAATATTTTCTTGGCGCCTCAGGCGCCCCTGTGGCCACGGCAGCCTGTGCGAGGGCGTAGGTCACACATTCTAAAGGCCGGCGTTGACTCTGGCTCAGTCTTGCCTAAAATCCCCGGTAATGTTTGAAATATGTTCAAAATGCCTCTGCTCACGCGCCGTCCTCACAACTCCAGTTTGGCTTTAAATGCAGCTACTTTGTCTGGCAACTTGAAAACTGTTGTCATTCTCCCCTGAAGTGACAGATTGAGTTCATTGAGCTGGCTGAATATGTCACACAGGTCACAGCCAATTTTGCTACCCATACCTTGTCACTGAAATACGTTACCAGCGGTGACTTCTTTTGTGAGAGAAATCGTTGCAATGGTTCTTGTAATTCAAAAACACTGGTGAGCGATTTGTCTCTGGATAACCATCTTATTTCTGTGTACAAGAGAAGGCATCTGTGCTCTGCGTCCATCTCCTCAAAAAGCTGCTCAAACAGGAACGAGCCAAGGGCGTGTTCTTTGATGGGGTTAATAACTTTAACGACATCAATCGATACGCTGTTAAATTCCGGGGACATTTTGCGGCTTGCCAGTATTTCCCTGTGAATGCAATGCGTACATTCACTCTCAGGTGCAACCTCCTCATTCTGAGCCGTTACACCAGACAGTCATGACACATGAGTCGTGCATATGCCGACACAAAAGGACCGTTTTAGTTGCCCTGATATATAACCATCCAGTGACTTGTACAGTTCTGCTCCTGGAGTGTTGGTTGGCAAAGATAGTTCACATAAAAAAATCCTAATGCCCATCCTCCTGATAAAGATATCGCACATAAACAAGTAGTATTGCCTTGTTGTCGATATCTGTAGATTCCACAACCTGTAGTGCGTACCACGGTGATGTGTAAAATATCTCCAACAACTTTGTCTTAATGTTTTTAGCTATTTCCTCAATGCGCCCTAGTCACAGTGCTAGGCGACAAAGACACATATGCTAGCTTTTTAACAGCAGCCTCTCCTAGAAGTTCACCGGAAATGGAGGGCAAGATCAATTCTTCACCAATAGTGAATGGATTTTTAGCATTAACAATACGGTTAGCCATCAAATATGATGCTCTCTGTGCAACAGGCGGACAATCTCAAGAGAAATTCACCACAGTAAATAAAATGGAAATAATTTAATGTTTCTTGGGCGGCCAGGTACCATTTGATCTACGAACAGGTACCGGTCCGCGGTTTGGGGACCACTGTTGTATAACACTGTAAGCCCAACAAGTTTAAGTATCATCTGAATTTCCAAGCATCTTTAAAGTTAGCTACCGGTATTTGCCAAAATGCCTTCCTTGATTTTCAATTTCACACCCCCTTCCCCTCGCTATCTAGTGACAGTATCAGCACCTTTGTAACTATCCTAACAAAACCCTGGATGATAGTAATTTTATGATACCGGTACTCTTTGGCACATCATTTCCAATAAATATTGTAAAACAAAACTGCTTGGACTATTCTTGTCAACATAGAATAAAGGAGCGAAACTAAGATTGGAACAAAGGCATACCCCCCCCCCCCCCCAGGGGAGTCACAACTTGGATGAATTCAGTACTGTGTATAGATGCACACCCTCCCCCCAATACCCCCCCCCCCCCACCCAAATATTAAAAAATAAAATAAAATGCACTTCTCAGACTCAAGAGTCCTATAACTATAAGATTCTTTGAAAGAAACACTACCGGTATTTGTAATTGTGTAACATGTTACATATAGTGCCTTTCAATTCATTGGATATTATGACATAACGGTACTAATTTCAATGTTGATTTCTTAACGCCAAAACCCAAACAACAACAGACCACCCGATACGATATAATAAAATGTAAATCTGAGAAAAACAGAACAAAAATACGGTCAATGGGTTCAAGCTCAAGGTCGCCATAAATTGCTGTGCAGTTAAGTGGGAGCTCAACTTTCCAGTTTCATGTACCCGGTATTCACATCCGTGTCAACTATTAACAAATATTCAAGTGTCCTCACACGTCCTAAGTTTGTTGCCATTGTTGTAACTTTATGTAACTAATGCCATTTTAGCTGCCCAAGTACCTCGCATATCTTTTTTTGGTGGTAATATATGGCGGGAAAACGAAGGCTCAGTGTATCTAGGTACACTCCACGTTATTTTTCTTTCATTGCTGGTAAGGTCAAGTTATCACCAGTACTAGAACTTTACAGTTTATTAATTAGCGAGTTGTACAAAAAAATACTTTTCCCTCTCTGGTGTCACAAACTTATCTCATCGTAATAGGAATATACTTCAGCTACCAAGTAGGGTTAGGATTACGGTACTAATAAAATTAGCTACCCCATCAAAACCATTTTAGGTCCTTCAGTTTGTCAAGTTAGCAGCCAGACTCACCCTTTGTGTTAAGTGAGGCTTTTGTTGTACTGAATACTAACTACTTGTAAATGCTTAAACTTTAAGTAGTTTAAAGTTAAAGCTTTTTTTAAAAAAAAAATGCCAACATCTTACTTTCAGTTTCAGTCAATGATGAAGTTTAAGTTGAGCCTAAAGAAGGTGACAGCGGAGAGGAGGACACAAAACGTTACACATCAAATATATTTACCAAGGAGTCAACCCTCTGCTGTCATTAGGTTACCCTGTACTAACTGTTACCCTGTACTAACCAACACTTTGTAAATAAATTAAATCTGTTTATATTCATTAGCGGGAACAGTTTTTGTGAATTATTTGTACTGTATATTCATGCACACAAGCGTACAATCAAAGAAAAAGTCGTCACAAATGTTATCAATGTGTGCCCTATTTTTAATGTTTCAAAAAACAAGAGATTCTTTTCAAACACGTACTTTTTTTTTTTTCTTTTTTCAAAAAAAAAATGGAGTCAAACAGTTTCTTAAAATGAGGGCATGGGACAAAACAATCATGGCTTGCACTTTATAACAAGCCTGCTAACAGTCGATGCAGCAGTATTTTAACTGCTACTGCTAAGAGTTTCCTTGTCGAATATGTACTCTCCGAGCCCAGGTCCGACACGTTTCAGGTTAGTGATGTAGTCACTAAGTTCCTTGATGGACTTGACCTGTTCTTCAAGGAACTCAGATTCCAAGAAATCTGCCATCTGAGGAATAAAATGTAAACTTGAGTTAAAATATTTTTAAATTTAAGTGAAAGAAAGGGGAAGAAATTGTGACATTATTAAATTTACCGTAGCTAAAGGTGTATGGTCAAAAACTTGAACCATGTGTCTTACCTGGGCATCATCATGACTGGTGCACAGCTTGTGCAGATCCAACAAGGATTGGTTCACACTCTTCTCAAGCTGCAGGGCAACCTGCATGGCCTCAAGACCAGTGCCCCATTCATCACGGTCGGGTTTCTGAAAATAAATTAATTCTTTTAAAACGCTTTTTAATGGTAAGCTGTTTATTTAATGGTAAGCTGTTTATTGATCTAACCTAATTCTTACAAGCAGAAAAAAAATTGAAATACTAACATGAATTTTAAACCTTTGTATTACTGGTACTCCCTGCATAGTTATCTTTAAATTAATTACCCTTTAAAATTCAATAGCAAAAGTATTGTCTTTTGGAAATAGCAACTCTCATTTGTTCAAAGAAGGCTATTGCCTAGTGGTCAAATCAAATGTTAATTACCTTAATATCTTGAAGGACAATGCGACCTCCTCTCTTGTTCTGATACTTCATCAGCTTTTCAGCATGCTCCCTCTCCTCTTCAGACTGATGCTTGAAAAACTTGTGGAAGCCAGGAAGGGCAACATCATCACGGTCAAAGTAGTAGGCCTGGCACCAAAGAGAAAAAAAAAGTAAAGTTTAACTTTTGCTTCACGAAACTGTTGCCAGTTCAGAATGTCTCAATGCTATATTACCTTTTTTTTTTTTTTTCAAAGCTGAATCCAAAGAAAATAATTGAGAAACTATTAAAAATTAAGAGATTACCAAAGAGAAAAAAAAAGTAAAGTTTAACTTTTGCTTCACGAAACTGTTGCCAGTTCAGAATGTCTCAATGCTATATTACCTTTTTTTTTTTTTTTTCAAAGCTGAATCCAAAGAAAATAATTGAGAAACGATTAAAAATGAAGAGATATTGGTGCCATTCAAATTTTAGTAGCAAGAATGAACTACAAAGAAGCTTTAATAAACTAGCAAGTAATATTTGAATATTTAAATAGACTTGCTTATATTTAAATAGACTTGCTTATAATTAAATAGACTTGCTTATATTTAAATAGACTTGCTTATATTTAAATAGACTTGCTTATATTTAAATAGACTTGCTTATATTTAAATAGACTTGCTTATAATTAAATAGACTTGCTTATAATTAAATAGACTTGCTTATATTTAAATAGACTTGCTTATATTTAAATAGACTTGCTTATAATTAAATAGACTTGCTTAAGTTCTTAAAATTCTGCCATCTTCTCAAATCAAAGAGCAAATAGCAACATGCAAAAAAAACCGTGAATACCATTGGGGACTGAATAGGGTTCAATCACAGTTGACCTATTGGAAGTATAAGTTTAATAAACCGCTTAGAAGGCCCAATTTAAGGCAAGGCATTAAATATAATGTCTGTTTCACTAAGGGGCACTGGTACGGTACATTAATAAATATATGCATGGACATTACACGAGCCATTATTCTAAGTGCCATAAAAGATTTCAAATTTGAAGCCCAAAAAAGTAGTCATTTGTCAATATTATAGCCTATTACAAAACTGTCATGTGAATACAGGTAACCCAGAAAATCTAAAACAAGACCAAGTAGTAGGAGGGGGAAAACATGTCACAGTCACACTGTCCTGTGCTGAAACAATGTGTCCTGTGCTCCAAGAATCCACGAATCTTACTCTATATTAACCATTAAGTAAGTTAAATTATAGTTAATAACACCCCAAAATAACTAAGGCTGTTACCTGGTCCACTTTCAGATTTCATAAGGGGGAAGATTGAACCATTTTAAATAGCTCAACCTTGACAAGTGTCGGATGAATGGGGTTAAGGTCACTTAACGATCCGATCCACGTTACCACGCCCAGACTTTCCCCTCACATGTCACATGTCATGCCAAATGGGTAAACGAATAAGAATAGTCACTGGTTTTGAGAGAGAGAGGGGGGGGGGGCGCCGCAAGTTTTAATTTTTATGATTTTTATCTTGATTATTGATGTACAGCGACACTACTGTACTACCGAACATAAAATGCCTCTTATGTAAAATTCAAGTAAATGGTGTCACAATGGTGTGTACCGTGGTGCGTAAAAAGAAATGACTCACCATCGACTGGTAGCTGTAGCTTGCATACAACTCCATGTTGATTTGGCGATTAATGCCTGCCTCGCTTTCAGCGTGGTAGTTTTGGCGAGCTTGACTGACTGACATTTTCTGATGTTTATTATCTAGTCAAAGATGAACAAAATGTGAAGAATGTAGAATTAGATTGTGGGTAACTAATTCGGCGCTATGAGGTATGTCTGTACGTTCACTGACGCAGCAAGACAACAAACTCTGGCCCGATTGTGGAGGCGCTCGCTTTATATACAACACTGCCGGAGCCAAGTCATGTGACCTAAATGTGAGGCTCTCTCAGGGAAGATATTTATATTTCTTTTCATACCTGACTGGCGTAGTATTGGAGATAAAGTTATTTTACAAAATGCTAAATATCCCTGCATTACGTAATGATTCCTGGCCGTGGACCGGTGCCGGTCCGCGGACTATCACTTCGGGAAAAACTGGTCACTGGAATATAAGTAATATATCAAGCAAAACTGCAAAACCCAAATATACAACTGACAACAGCATTCGATATTCATTCTCATCCATAATAATATTTTAATACAATGAAATCTCTTGTATTTAACTTATATTTTTATTTTGTGCCAAACAGGTAGTCTCAAAGCGGATCATATGGTACAAGCAAAGGATATTTGGGAAGTCACGTCAGAGCCGTTCTTAGGAGTTTGGGGGCCCTAAGCATGGAGCGTAGGTTGGGGGCCCCGGAAGGGGGGGGGTCGGGGGTGGAGCTCCCTCGAGGAGAAAACACCACCCACCACTGCGGCACCTCCATTCTGCCTTCATCAATGTTTCCTCTTTGCTTGCGTGTAACCACTAACCATATTGATAATTCCGCCTCAAGAGAAAATGTGTAATTCTGAAATATATGGACATATATCGAGGGCGCCTCACGGGGGCCCCCTCACGTTTGGGGCCCTACGAGGATACGTAGTCAGCGTATGCCTAAGAACGGGCCTGGTCACGTGAGAGAGAAAAAAAAGAAAATTGGGAGCCATTAATTATATAAACAGAGCTGAGCCATTTTAATATATATTCTTATTTTATTTTTTTTTTAATTCCTTGTTTTAGTTTTATAATTTACTCATTTTTTTGTAATCTACAATGTGTGCGTAGGGCATAGTGTCTAAACAGACTATAACTTTTTTGGTTTTTGCGGGTGGGGGTAGTTTTTTGGTGGGTGGGGGGTGGGGGTGGAATTAGGTAAGAACTTTTGTTAAATACTAAGTACGATGGTTATCATAGGTGGGCCTATATTGGCTGTAAAAATGCCATTTATTTTGAAATAAATTTCATATTGTCGTGAAATGAGAAAATTGTTGAAAAGGGAATAATTGTTTTTTGTTTTTTTTTTTAATTTAAATGTTATTATTGATTTATAACAAGGGATTATATTAAACTATTTGGCTTCATAAGCTATTAAATGAAAGAAATACGCATTTCATGTTAAAAGAATTCAGCCATCATATATCTTGGTCAAAATAGGTCATGGTGATTAACCATTTTCGCCTATGATTTTCAGTTTATAGATCTTCCAGCTTAATACGATTTACTGTAAACGAAAGTCACAGATTTTTTTCCTTCGATATTTTCAGGGCACATGATCAGTTCTGATCGTTCTGGCTCCTGGTTTGAATTCAGAGTTTGGCTTCTCTTAGATGAGTTGCCATCCAAGGCTAACGAGTCCCATCCAACCGGGGTGCTTAAGATGTTTTTGGTTGTCTTGGTTTTGGTGGGGATTGAACTCTAGACCACCAGCTATTTGTATTGAGTCATAATAGACCACTTTGTCACCCAGAATTATGTTAATGTCATCAAATGTCATAAATGATGTGGGGGGGGGGGGGTCAGTTTGTAGAAAGAATACGTTTCTCTCCTTCAGAAAAGGATTTTTTTTTTAAATGTGAATTCCTATTCCTATTTGGTGACGTATGATGTGTGTAGTTTAGTTGTAGAGGTGCTTAATTTCTAAGAATGATTCAAGCCACTAAGAAAGCAATTAGCCAAAACTGGTTAGGCCCTACTGTAGGGCAACTAGTTCTCCAAATTTCTAGTAAAACGCTTATGTAATCAATATGAACTATTTATATTTCAATATCTTTGTGCATAGCCATGTCGAGGAATTCCATTAAATCTAGAAATCATGCCCGAGCATAATATAAATTCTTTCACTTCCTGAAATCGTAGTTTTGAAAACCCAACGTACGACAATAACATATCGGCAATAACATATCGGCAATAACATAATAACACTTCCTACCTCTTGTCATTTCTTCATGTGCCCAGTCTACCGAGGAAGGCTCTTGGCCGAAACATTCGTCTTTTATGGTCCAGTCTTTCTAATTCAAGCTTCCACACACCTTGCTCCACTGTTCCCGAAGATAATAGACCTACGAGTCTAAATGGCGTAAACAGAAAGGTATAAACCATACTGATGCTGAGGCTCATACTCATAAGTCTAAGGTAGACTGATCGACGTGTCTACTTTATTGCATTAAAATCTCTCATTAATGGTTAATGGTTAGCCCAACTTTAAATGAAAACGTTAAAAACCTATACAACAATGTTTCCTTATGACGTAAGCGACTCAGGACTTTTCGACCGCGAGTTATGAAGGAACAAAATGGAGAGGATAACTTTTATGATTTAATTATTCTTAAAGATGATTTTTTTTTTTTAAATTGTAAGCCCTGTAAGCTTCAAGGCATTTCCATTCAAATGCATCAGGGAAATTAAATGTCGTGAGAGTGTGAGCGTGAATGTAAAATAAACGAAGGTCACATGCTAAAATTAAATGGCTACCGGATCTGAATGATGATGAAGTTTTTTTCTTTTGGGGAAAGTGTTGTTCGTGTGACTTTAACCTGGTAAAAACTTGATGCGTCTTAATTGTTATTTATCTATGTAGTTTGATTCAAATGTTGTTGCTATTGCTTTCAGTTGTCTCAATGTTTTTACCTTTTTTTTTTCTTTTCCTTCCCCCTTTAGCCCCAAGCAGAGCCTCAACACATTCGTTCAATCATGATAGTTACACATGTTACCCTCAGACAGCGGCATGGGAGGATTAATTGATATTTAAATCTGTACACAATTAACTCGTGACTACAAACTTTGAACATCGGAGTTCATGCGATGAATTCATGCATTCAATTTTTTTTTTTTTTTAAATTCCCCCTTAGAACACGGAGCTGAAATTATTATGTATATTAAAAAAAACAACAACCTAGGCCTAGCTTATTTACTTCATGACTTGATACTGATAGATTAGTCATGCATGACGAAATGTTGTTAGATAATGCTTATATTTCAAACTTCGACTTTTCTTAGTCTTACGCAAGTCATAAACGTTAGGTATCACTTTTTACAAAGGTAACAAAGCTTATTCAAAAGATTATATTTTAAATCATATTCGTTTTATTGAAATTGTGTGTTTTATCAATGAGAAGTAATAATGATTAATGCTGAGACCCATACACCTTTTACACAATTTATGTTCTATGTAGGAGACGATTTGTTTTCATATTCTACCGTAAGTTAACGTGTTGTTGTTGGTGTTTTTTTTTTAAATTAGGGAACAGGATTTCATAATTGTTTTGTTTTTAACTGCGCGTGACCAGCTACAATGACTATCAGTTTTCAAGTGCTGAGGAATGCACCAGTATCTTCCCTCTCAATCCCATGTTCTCCATCGAGCAAAGGCCAAGTCGATCACAACGCGGCATGCTGTTGAAATGAGTGTGTAGCGTGCCTCGCCATATCACATGTCTCCTGACCCACTTCTTTAGGGTTGTGTAAAGGCGCAGTAGTTTGTGGTCAACAATGAACCTGTTTCCTGGCCCTTGCCAGCAATTCTGAGTGGTCATGCGGCACAGTGAAGAAGTCAAGGGTTTTAAGTTGACTTTTCGGACTGCAGAACGGAAGTAAAGAGTCCGCTTACGAGTGGTACACACATGCGATCACCTTGACCTAGACTGATCGTTTTACATAACTTGGTTATGAAATATTCCCTCCTAAACGCTTGGGTGAATTGTTATTCAATAGTTGAAAAGCAAAATTACATAAGTGTGTCAAGTTTGGGAGTAGGCCTATACATGACAGCACCGTAATAAAGAGTGAAGACATAGTGAAAGGAAGGGGATGCCTGCTAAAGCAGGAATACCAGGGCTCTAGTCTCTAGTCTAGGCGTATTATTTGTTACATAATTAATAATAATATGACTTAACGTTTTTTTTCAATAAAAAGGATATGTTACTGTGAGACTGCGATTTTTCTGACTGACGTATGGAGAGCCGAGCATCTCTAAAACAGTCTCGGCCTCGTTAAAATAAGAACTGGTTGTAAATAACGTTTATCCACTTGAAAACATCGCTCACAAAAACAAACAGTAGGCCAAAAAAAATAAAAAATTACAAGGGGTGAAAAAGAGAAAAAATGTCTTCCAAATGTCATAGGCCCAAAATCTCAGGATGACACAAAAGCAGACGGGCACAAACAAATTGTATAGGCCTACACACAAGTGAGGGCCGCACAGTGTTTCTTTCAGAAATTTTCCCCCGGGGGGGCACTTCAGACTTTNGGGGGGGGGGGCCCTGGGGTTTCCCGGGGGGGGGCCCCCCCCCCCCGAGATATAGCTGAAAGAAACCCTGGGGCCACAGATTATAGGGATAATATCGTGATGTCATGAAGCATCAGCGGAAAGAAATATTTCCATTAAAACAAAAGAGACTTGCAATAATTTTTTTAAAAATTTAAATGAGTGACAAACTGGTAGGCCCACAAATGGCCCAAAGTCTCAACCCTAGAATCCTTCCTTTCTACCGGCCCTCGACAAACAGCATCGTACATTTCCTAAAGATAGCACACATATCTCTTGATATTCCATGACGGGATCTCCATTGGTCCAGATAACCAGGGGTAGACTTATGGGATGTTGGTTCAGATAACCAAGGTTAGGCTAACGTGATGTTGGTCCAGATAACCAGGGGTAGGCTAACCTGATGTTGGTCCAGATAACCAGGGGTAGGCTAATGTGATGTTGGTCCAGATAACCAGGGGTAGGCTAACGTGATGTTGGTCCAGATAACCAAGGGTACGCTAACGTGATGTTGGTCCAGATAACCAGGGGTAGGCTAACGTGATGGGATTAGATTGGGGATTTTATTATGGTCATTGACCTTGAAGCCCCTCACTTACGAAAACCACAAACATATAAAAGACACTTCTCCTTCTTCTAGAAATTAAGGGCCCCCACGATCAATTTATTGCTCATCGTGGCTCCTATTACGCACGTAGAGGGGATTTGCAATGTTTATGTGCCTGGTGCTGATATTTCACTGGCTGCAAGGGCCACTCTGTGAGGGTATCATGAACTTGGGGTTGGAAAGCCTGATGATTTAGATGCAAATATTTCAAGTGTTTTCGCCTTATCTGTTCCTTTTAAGCAATAAAAAGTATATATATGATGCCGAAATGGATAAAAAAAATGTGACCCGATTAAACAGTGCTGCCCCGGGACTGACAGCCTCCCACACGCCCTCTTCTTTAGTTTTGGATGAAAGAAACAATTTGTTTGACTAAGTTAAATAATGGTTGAGGACAAAGTTTTGTACAAAAACTAAGTGAGTACAACAGATGTAAGCCATTGACAATAAGCTAGGTGTTGGGATTCTCGTCTTTTTAACTGTAAAAGTAAACTATAAGTGGTTGTAGGCCCTATATACTGAATATGGAGTACACTGTAAATGTTTTCATATTTCACAAACCAAGATACCACGCGCATTACACACAGAAGACACCCATTACAGCATTGACCTGCAAATTTTTGGTTTTTTAAAGACCAGTACTATAAATTAAAATCTGTTTATAGGTTGTTGCTTTAAAAAAAAAAATGAAATTGTTATGCTAATGTAAATTTAATAAGTCTTAAATAATGTTTTTGCCAACTTTTACTCTGCTATGAGATAAGTAATTTTTTGAATGATTTAAAAAAAAATAAATTGTGCAGCTATTGTATTTCCTGGAGACGGCTTTATGATGTCACGTTCCTTCTTAACTTTCGACTTTTTTGGGGGCGTTCCCCCGAATATGCTTCTTAATTCCCCTTTCATAGCATGATGGCATTTTAATTATTATTTATTAGCCCGTTTATATGAGTGTAACGAGTATTTTCTGTTTGTCTCATGAGCGCTTTCTGCTGTTTTGTGAGGATTGGTTTGTTTTCGTTCCAATCGTTTTAGTTCATTTTAAAACCACCTCCCTCTTAACAGATAATTAGCAAAATGATCAAGCAACTTATCCAGCCGAGCATAGTTATGGATAAAACAATGCATCAAAGTTTGGAGGAGCCATGGTTGTTTACTGTTACGTGTACATTTTTGTTTAATTTATTTGATCAGGGGAAGCAACTTCATTATATCAGTTATACGAGTATCGTTCTTAATAAGTTCCCTTGAAATCAAAGATTAACGTACTAACCGCCAAAACTAGCAGTGACGATACTAAAACTCCCGTATCTTGAACGCGTGCTTGCGTCTGTCTACTGCGCGTAGCTCCAGCGGCAACGTGACCATAGAAGTGAAGAGGATTAAATGCTGGTCAGTTGTTTGAGATGAGTCTCTAATGATATCAGAGCAATCTTTTCAATCTTATGTTAATGAACGGAAATGGTGACCGTGTTTGGAAGAAAGGTGGAAGAGCAAATCCGATAGAGATTAAAAAATAATAATAATAAAATAATAATAATACAATAATAATAATACAATAATAATAATAAAATAATAATAATACAATAATAATAATACAATAATAATAATAAAATAATAATAATAAAATAATAATAATAAAATAATAATAATAAAATAATAATAATAAAATAATAATAATAAAATAATAATAATACAATAATAATAATACAATAATAATAATACAATAATAATAATAATATAATAATAAATTAAAAAAGCACCAAGTGACACGGTTTGGGACAGGTAATCTGTCAACGGAGAGGAAAGTCTTATCGACGTGTAAGAGAAAGCGACTTTCATCGCAGAACATTTCACTCCTATAAAACTCTTAATCGTCGGACGCCACAGGCAGAAATTTTCACAACACATCATCGTGGCTCGCAATGTCCAACCTGTATCCGATGCACACAAAAAAACGCACCTATGTCCGTAAAAAAAATCAAGGCGAAATGACGTAATGCTGATGTTCCGTTTGAAAGATGTTCCTCGTAGACTTCGTGGTGGCGACCGCTGCATATTCTGCTGAACACGGGCGTGATCAAATGATTGAAAAACGTACATCTTTGTGTTGGTCAGAGACACATAGAAATAGTATGGATACATAAAATGGTATAACAATATAATGTACTAGAATAAATGACCCGATATTATCGGGATAATAATGGTAAATCATTTTGTGATAATTTCTAACTGATATTTCAAAAACGCATCACACTGCATAACTTTGAAAATGTATTGTTATTTACGTTTCTAACATCATTATGTTTTGAGAAGTATTTATCTGCTATATATTATAGGGCTGCCCTACTCTTTTTCACGCTCCTAAACTACTTTTCCCCCTCTAAACATGACCTTAAATTACACAGTCTAAGTTATTACTAATTATATCACTTTTGTCATTAAAAAAAGTTAATTTAGGGACAATTACTACGTTAGAGAAATTCTTAAGATTTACCCCTTTTCGTGCCCTTGAATTGCAACTTTTTTTCTCTAAAAAAACTTGTTTAAAAAACTTGCCTTAAATTTACAGCAAAGACTCTATATATGATATAAAATATTTTATATTATAGGAATTCCATACATATAGAATTCCATACATATAGTGTTGCGTTTGTTTTAAATGTGGTAAATTATAGATTTGTTTTTTTTGTTGACTTTGTAGGCCTACCGTGCTTCGAGCCTTTGGGGATGAAGCGTGTTTTTGAAATGAACTTTATTATTATTATTATAGATACCTTCAGCAAAAATTTAAACACATTTTTGCCTTTTTTAAAAAAAAATTATATAGTATCCGAAAATCGTAAAACAAAGAATTCTTTTATCTAAAGAAGAATCACGAACCGTTTTTCACGTCTATAACAGACTTGTTATTTGTGTTTTTTTTTTTATTTAAATGGTTAATCTCATAAAATACAAATCTCTTTACTTTTTGCAAAGTAAAAGTAAAAACAAAATTATATTTTAATTTTTTGAAAGTAGGCCTAAATATTAACCCATATCTATTTTTCAAAATTAATTTTTCAAGTGTGTAAAATGATTGGGTTTTTGATATTCATGGCTATACTTATAGTTTATAGTTATAGAAATGTACCCAAGATTTGTTAACGCCATTGATCTTCTTAACTGATAAACATACTTATATTTGTAAAAAGAGAGAGTGACATCTCTTTTTTCACATATGTAATACCATAGGAGTTAACTATGTTGTCATCCACGTAAAAATGTGCACATCTTATTTCCTACCTGTGACATGTATGACTCAAGAAAATTAATTATTTATCAAAACCATTCCTTTATTTTGAGACGTATGTTGTGCTGCCTTGGGCAAAATGAACATACCCAATATTTGTAAAAAGAGAATGTAACATCACTTTTTCACAAATGTAATACCATAGGAGTTAATATATATTGTCATTCAGTGAAAATTTACACATCCAATTTCCTACCTGCGACATGTTCCCAAGAAGAAGTATTATTTATCAAATTCATTCCTTTATTTTGAGATGTATCCTGTGCTGCCTGGGGCAAAGTAACCAAACGCTCCCCCGACCAGATTTAAATAAATTTATAAAAATCTTCTACAGGATTGTTTGATTTGATTTGATCTGATCGCGCTGGTATCCATACCACTTTAGCATGCTCACTGCGCTCTGGTCGTTGTCAGGTGTAGTTTATGAGGGTTGTCTTGTCAGGTGTAGTTATATGATGGGTTGTCTTGTCAGGTGTAGTTATATGATGGGTTGGCTTGTCAGGTGTAGTTATATGATGGGTTGGCTTGTCAGGTGTAGTTATATGATGGGTTGGCTTGTCAGGTGTAGTTATATGAGGGTTGTCTTGTCAGGTGTAGTTATATGATGGGTTGGCTTGTCAGGTGTAGCTATATGAGGGTTGTCTTGTCAGGTGTAGTTATATGATGAATTGGCTTGTCAGGTGTAGTTATATGAGGGTTGTCTTGTCAGGTGTAGTATATGATGGGTTGCCTTGTCAGGTGTAGTATATGATGGGTTGCCTTGTCAGGTGTAGTATATGATGGGTTGGCTTGTCAGGTGTAGTATATGATGGGTTGGCTTGTCAGGTATAGTTATATGATGGGTTGGCTTGTCAGGTGTAGTTGTATGATGGGTTGGCTTGTCAGGTGTAGTTATATGATTGGTTGGCTTGTCAGGTGTAGTTATATGATGGGTTGGCTTGTCAGGTGTAGTTATATGATGGGTTGGCTTGTCAGGTGTAGCTATATGAGGGTTGTCTTGTCAGGTGTAGTTATATGATGGGTTGGCTTGTCAGGTGTAGTTATATGATGGGTTGGCTTGTCAGCTGTAGTATATGATGGGTTGGCTTGTCAGGTGTAGTTATATGATGAGTTGGCTTATCAGGTGTAGTTATATGATGGGTTGGCTTGTCAGGTGTAGTTATATAATTTGTGAGGTATTCAACAACGACATCAACAACAAAAAGTTGCTAGGGATTAAGGCAGCAATAATATTAAACACCATGCCTATATTTTGATTATGGTAAACACATTATACTGTACAAATTATACATGATTTAGCGTATTCGCAGGAGTGCATGCTATTTTACGTGCAGCTGATCCCCTATTCCGACATGCTTCATTTCCACCCTGGGTAACGCCCTTGAAACATCAGAAGTATTTAGTTTCTCTTTCAGTTCTTCTGTTACTTGTTTGCGTAGTTCGACCATTGCAATGGATCCTGTCTGCGGAAATGACCAGAATTTCCGTAGGAACGGGAAAACGAGTTCCGGATTCGTCGTGCCTTTACAACAGTTCTTCGTAAGATAGCTGACGCCGGCACCCAAAGTTAAGCTGACAAAACAGCCGGTGAGTCCGTACCACTCATAGGAAATGTCGTAGAGAAAGAATCCGTACCCATCGCCTCGGCCGTTCAAAGGTGTGAAATAAGACGACGTCGTGTTTCTGAGAGCCGCCGTGGTGACGTAGAGAGCGTCGTTCAGTACCGTGCCATTGTTGAAGCACATCTCCGTGGACGGTGAGGGCAGGAGCGGCGTCTTCTTGCCGTAAAACTGATGTCCCATGACGATCCAGATGTTGAACGAGATGGCTGTTAGGCTTCCGATCAACGCACCGCATTTATTACCGCATGGGACCGACGCCCCGAGGAGGAAAATGCCTAAAATGGGCCCGCCACACGCGCCGATGACGGACAACGCCATCTGTGAAACCGGGCCTTTAAGGTGATCGGCCAAGTAGGCGAGGCCGATGATCAGAACACCGTAAAAACACACGAAGAGTTTGGTGATAAGAGTTGCTCTGCTTTCCTTGACTTTCTTCAGAGGTCTTTGCAAAAAATCTTCGACGGTGTTTGCAGCAAGTGCATTTATGCCTGCACGATAGAAACATACACAATTAATTATAATTAGTTTAATTTACTTTAAAACGCCAATACATTTATAAGGATAAGTCCATGGGAATCTAAGCTCGGAAAAGAACAGCATCAGATCCGAGTGGAAGCAAGTGATGAGGCAGGCCAGAGCCCTACATCGGCTGTAGCGCCATAGGGGTTGAATGGGTGGTCTGAGTGGAAGGGAATGGTGAGGCAGGCCAAAGCCCTACATGGGCTGTAGTGTCACAGGGGTGAATGGATGGTCTGAGTCTGAGTGGAAGGGAATGATGAGGCACGCAAAAGTTCTACATGGACTGTAGCGCCACGGGGATAGATAAGTCCATGCAGAAGAAAAAAAACACAAGAAGAAAATAACCTGACGAGAGGGTACTGAGGGATGCACTGAACAATGTTGACATGTAGATTCCAGAAATGCCAGGAAAATCTCTCAGAGTGTGGAGCACAAAGTACGGTGGAAGTTGGTTTCTGTTAGTGATGAGTCCACCCTGAAATATATTATGTATCGACAATATTAATCTCAAACAATAATTTATAACATCGATCGCAGCCATTTAATTGCAATACCAATTGTAAACATTTAGTTGTAATACCAATTGCAAACATTTAGTTTTAATATTAATTGTAAACATTTGATTGTAATATCAAGCATGCACCATTTATTTACAGTATCAGAAGTAAACCTTTTAATTTATGGAAGCTACCTATTTTTAATATCAATAGCAAACATTCATTTATCTGCATTTATTCTCAATCTGGACACTTTTTGATGTGCTCCATTTATATTCAAATTATATACGGTGCATACTCCGCCTGCTACCTCTGTAAGCTTTGAAAAGTGTAATTATAAAAACACCAATTAATACACCAAGGTGAATCGTTTAAATTTAAATATCCAAAGTTTAAATGCCCAAAAGAAATTTCTTGGTATTCAAAAAAAAAAATAGTTGATGACAGCAAAAAAAAAAACACTAATAAATATCAAAGCCATATATAACTGATTAAAAAAATTATAAGAACCTATTGAGTAATGTAATTTCCGTATATTTGATATATTGAAGGTGTTGTTTACTTTTATTACCAAATCAATACGGTACCGGTATATATATATATATATATATATATATACTAGCCGATATACCCGGCGTTGCACGGGATTGCATTAGGACCCCGATCATGGTAAGGCCCCAATCCAAATGGGACCCAAATCCCATTCTGGCCCTGATACCGGCGCAATTTCTTTTTCCGGTGTGATTCCGTTCCCGGTGAGATCCCGATCCCCATCCCGTCGGTGTCTTGATCCCAGTGGTACCCCGATGGGCTACCGGTCCCGTCAGGATACCGTTCTCTGTGGTATCCCATTCCACCTCGGGACCCTCTTTTCCGATATTCTCCCATTTCCCGATAGAATCCCGATCCCGGTTTGATCGCGTTACCTTATGGAATCGCGATGGGATCGCGTAACCGATGGGATCCTGTAGTGTTAATCTTTGGAATCATGCTCAGTACGATTTTGTTCAAATAAGCTTTTAGATCCCATTGTATATCCCCGTAGAACATTAAATAACCTTCTGGAACATTATAGATTAAAATTAATATCCTCCATTAAAAACGGGAAAAAAATACTTTTCTGCGTAATTATTTCTTGAATGCGACATATTATACCACTTAATTGTAGTACTATAACTAGAGTAAATTAAGATTGAAATAGGGGCCTCAGTGGGGGCCCATTTAATAAAATAACGTTTTAGCTATGTCTGAGATGTTGGGGGGGGGGGGGGGGGTGGGGGCGGCCCTATAAAAATCTTTGAGATACATGATAATTAAAATTTAAAATTTGTCCCATTAAAATCGGTTTAAAAATGCCAAAGAAATCACTTTTTTAAATTATTGAACGATCTAGAAAATTCTAGATCAGCCCTGCATGGATTGGATATTCTTAGTTTTAAATCCATCGATATTTCAATATGAACGATGAAGTGTATGGATACAAAGCTTGGCCTATATCCATCAATTCACATAGAATCTACAGTGTTCACTAATAAGCCTATCAAGATTTATATATCTTAAATAAGGAAAAATGAATTGGGGCCCCGGAAGAATGGATATTATATGTTCAGTACCCTTCGGTATTTGAATATAGATAATAAAAGTATATGTGTACTAAGTTTGGTCAAGATCCATCCATTCATGTAGTACTAAGCTTATTAATATTTATAAAGCTTACATAAGAAAAAATGAAACGTGGCCCCCGGCCCCAGAGGTATGGATATTTTGAGGTAAATAACCTTTGGATTTTTAGTATGGATAATCAAGTGCATGTGTAATAAGTTTGGTCAAGATCCATCCATGCTTGTAGGAGTATTTGTTTCTAATTATTTTTATATAGCTCATATAAAGGGAAAAAAAAAAGTATTTTGGGCCCCTTAAGAGTTCCCTCTGGATCATGATGGATATATGTGCCAAGTTTGGTCAAAATCCATCAATCCATGTAAAAGCGTATGTGGAACAAACTCAAAAACAAACATTCACTTTTATATATATATATATATATATNTATATATATATATATATATATATAAATACATTTTAAATTAATCGTTCTCAATATTCTTTAATAAATTAATTAATGATTTAAACTTTTACATGTTGTTACATTTGTAATGACTCAGTCAGGTGTTACACTGGCTTGTGTAGATAGTGACCAATGTGTAATGACTTAGCCAGGTCCTTCACTTTGGCTTATGTTTATGTTGTTACACGTGTATTGACTTAGCGACATTTTTACACTGGATTATATACATTGTGTTACAAGTGTTTACACTGGATGATATACATTGTGTTACATGTGTAACGACTTAGCCAGATACTACTACAGCTAATGTACACATTGTTACATTTGTAATATCGTGTACGCACGTTGTAGGGGTCACATCGGATGTGGGAGAAGTAAGCGTAGATGACGATGCCGACACTGAAGAGAAGTACCATATTGGTGAGTGTGATGCAAGCGTTGACAACGAACGACAATCTGGCATCATTGATAGATTTCATGGCATAAATCCTTTGAACTGTTGATTGATTAAATATGTTTCCAAGCCTGGGAAAATAATCAATGTTATGTTTTGTTAAAGGGTGACATTAATGAGAAAATCTATTTGTACTGTAAAGCATTATAAAATGTCATTACTCCCAACTGTATTTTCCAAAAAATACAAATTATTTAAAAAAAAAAACAAAGTAAAATATGTTGATGACATTGTAATATTATAAACTAAGGCTTAAAGGGGTGGAGTTTTATTTTTACATTGGGTCCGGGTTTTGGTGGGTCCAATTGTTAAAACGAGTTAACTTCTCATTTTCAAATAAACAATAGGTCTACAGACAGTCCTTCACCCTACCTGACAGCCTTTACACAAAAGGCTTACAGAGAGTCCTACACCATACCTGCCGGCCTTTAAACAAAAGGCTTACAGGCAGTTTTACACCCTACATGACGGCCTTGAAACAAAAGGCTTACAGACAGTCCTACACCAGACCCGTGGCTATTTATCTATTGATATAATAGTCGCCTCCGAACAAATTCAACCTTTTATCTTGGTTCAACCGTCACGCATGACCCTTGCTGCTTGACATTTTTTGTTATTTTTTACTCAGTACAATGGATTTAAAAATTGTTGAGTGGGGGAGGGCCGGTGGTGAAAAGGAAGGAGCCACACCAGAAGCAAAGTATATTATATCAAAGGTAGGAACGAGTTCATCAGTGTGCGGGGTAGACAGCTCACCATTGGGCGTCTGATATCACCACAAACTTACCTGAGTTTTTAATCGCAACATGTTTAACTCGCCTCACAATCGAAATGTAAAACACGTGCACGGCCAATGAAGGGCCACAACTGACGCGGGATTCCAAACCAAAAAATGTTGATACCTAACTACCTCCCCTGTATGTATAGGTGGCTTAGCTAGGGTAGGTGGCGACCGGTGAGGGTCAATGATTTTAACCGCCCTTTCCATGAAAGAAAAAAACCTCTGTAGTTGGGCGAAAATGTTGCCCCTCCATATAAAGACACCAAAAAGTATCGCCCACGACGGACAGCCCCCTCCGTACCCCTTCCTACGCCACTGTGTAAAATATAAATGTATAAAAATTATCAATTAAAAATACGACATTAACACTTGCAAAAAAAACACACAAAAAAACACATTTTCAATGATGTTAATTTTTTTTTTTTAAATGTAATGTCCTCACCACATGGTCATACCGCCTATGATCACACCCCACCAGGTGTGTCTTGACCTCGGATCAGGGCTAAACGATCGAAAAGAAGTCCTGCCACCTTTGTCGGCTATGCTCCAAACAGAACTCACTCCACCAACAGTCATAACGCCTGCCAGCAAGAACCCAATCATGATATTCAAACCGTGTGGAGGAAAATTAAATGTTAGAGCAAGATGTTGAAGCTTGTTGTGAAAGGCAGGACAATCAAAAGAACTTTTCAGTTGTTATGTCCCTTCATCAATAACAATGAACACGAAAATAGTGCTATCTTGCCCTGGATAAAGTCATGGGTTGCGACCCCAAATTGGGTCATGTGGGTTTTCTGTGAAGGGGTGGGGGTTAGGGGAGCGTCACCGCAACTCACAGGTCGAGAACCACTGCGTTACTTTGTTATGAGGAGCTTAACTTATTAAGATATTTTGTGTCGTGATTGTTTGTTTTTGTTGATAGTATTATTACTAAAAGTGGTTTAAAATAGCGTGGTACCCCAGCCTAGGGCTGGTCTCACCACGCTGTAAATACAATATAACTAACATAATCAAGATTAATTAAGATACATTAATTAAATAAAACAAAAATATTTCTCTTGTATTAAAGAAAATAATAAATGATAGTTGAATTAGTTGAATTGTAATTGTAGACAATACTCTTTAAACTTCACGGCTGCCATCTTTCTCGTATTATTATGTTAGTTTAATTGATTACTTATAAATTGTACGAGACCCGTATAGATGTTACTTAGAATTTTAAGCAGTTTATCATGACGTTGGTAACATTTAATAGGTCAAGATGAACACGTTATCCATAACAGCAACATGCATCGACAGAAGTCGTTCTGTAACAGGCTTGGATAGAAGGTGTTCTGTAACAGGCTTTGATAGAAGGTGTTCTGTAACAGGCTTTGATAGAAGGAGTTCTATAACAGGCTTCGATAGAAGGTATTCTGTAACAGACTTTGATACAAGGATTTCTGTAACAGGATTGGATAGAAGGAGTTCGTTGTAACCAACATTCATTAAGGTTAACTTGAACAGACGAGCCGACCTTTGGTAATCATGACAAAGATTCCAGCGAACATGACAAGGGTCTGGAACACGTCGGTCCAGACGACACTCTTGATCCCGCCAATCGCAGTGTACACTGTGCCGACAGTTCCAATGATCAACACGGAGACCCACAGTGGGATGCCGGCAGCGGCCTGGAGGAGAAGACGTGCTTAAATTCACATTTTGACAATGGCATGATCTATCTATAGCACACTTGTGCATCTTTCCTGAGCTATGGGCGACACATTTGAAACGATTCACTGCTTTGGTCGTTCAAAGTCTGCTATACTCCTGTCTTTTTAATGTAAGGATTTAATACATATTTTTTTTTAAAAAGATATCAATGTTAGTGACGAAAACAATAAAAGAGCACTATACAATAAATATAATACATACATGTAAGTATACTTCCCCCCCCCCTCCTATTCGTTAAATTTTAACTAAGGATGTTTAAACCATTTTTTTTTCCCTTGCAAACCGGTTTTCAGTTTTTACTATCAGGATTAGTTATACGGGAAGCATGGAACGGCTTTCCTGTTACTTTAATATTTTTTTTTGGCCAATGTTGTGTATGTGTGTGTGTGGGGGGGGGGGTCTTGGGGGGGTTCAAACACCCCTCTTCCCCCCACCCGGGGCAATAACCTCAATTTGCAATGCATTCTAAGGCTTACGTTATAGGATTAGTTATACGGGAAGCATGGAACGGCTTTCCTGTTACTTTAATATTTTTTTTTGGCCAATGTTGTGTATGTGTGTGTGTGGGGGGGGGGGTCTTGGGGGAGTTCAAACACCCCTCTTCCCCCCACCCGGGACAATAACCTCAATTTGCAATGCATTCTAAGACTTACGTTATAGCCGCGTTACATCAACCCGATATTTTCTAAGACCGCCCACGGTCGTAGCGAGAGGAACTGAGGAGTTTTCGCTCCCCGAAGGCTTTTCATTTCCTTTGGGTGGGGCGGCATTTTCGGTCCATTTCACACACCTTAAAATAGATTATTTTTCCCCAAACGTTTTGTCTTTTCATTGTTGCTTTCCTTTCATTAAGGTTGGGGTGGGGGGATTACGAGAGACTGCGATCTGCCAACTGACTAACATCTGTCGCACAACGAACACTTGCAAAAACAAGGCGGCCTCCGTTTGCACCCATAAAAAAATATAGTATGCAATCACAACCGGTTTTTTAAATATTTGTCAGCTTGTGTCATTACAGAATGCCTACCAATGTTTTTGCATTACTAGCCAGACATACCCGGCTTTGCTCGAGTTTGTATTCTGAAAAAAAAATCTCATTATAAGCGATCACTTTGTCATAAAACTTCCGCTAAAGCAACTATCAAAATATAAATTGTCTCCTATAAAAGGCCAGATCTATAATAAGTCTTGTGAACGTTGAACTTGGGGGGACCATTTCCATTTCAGTTAATAATCTTGGAGAGCCTGCCATCGTACGCTTGCACTGCAGGTTGGTTGACAGGCATTTTGACCAGACCCCAAAACCAATGAATGTGTTTTTTAGCCATATTATGGCTGTTTGGGATGGTGCCGACCATTTGGCCTATTCCCTGGTTCCGAATGTGGCTCCTTCTGTTTTGCCAGCAGCTCGCCTTAAATCTTTTATCTCACAGGTGACTATTTTTCTATCGACGCATTTCTTCAGAGCCCAGGTTTGGCCCTGTAAGACCAACGGGTGATTATCGGATATCAGTAATGAAATTGAGGCAAACTTATTTTGACTGGTATTTAAGAAGCTGAAAATAAATGTACATCATGTAAATAATTTATTTTCAAAAGTGCAATCTAAAAAGGCCGGAAATAATGCCTTTGTTCCGTGGGTAACAAATGATGCCTTTGTTCCGTGTGTAACAAATGATGCCTTTGTTCCGTGTGTAACAAATGATGCCTTTGTTCCGTGTGTAACAAATGATGCCTTTGTTCCGTGTGTAACAAATGATGCCTTTGTTCCGTGTGTAACAAATGATGCCTTTGTTCCGTGTGTAACAAATGATGCCTTTGTTCCGTGTGTAACAAATGATGCCTTTGTTCCGTGTGTAACAAATGATGCCTTTGTTCCGTGTGTAACAAATGATGCCTTTGTTCCGTGTGTAACAAATGATGCCTTTGTTCCGTGTGTAACAAATGATGCCTTTGTTCCGTGTGTAACAAATGATGCCTTTGTTCCGTGTGTAACAAATGATGCCTTTGTTCCGTGTGCAACAAATGATGCCTTTGTTCCGTGTGTAGTAAATGATGCCTTTGTTCCGTGTGTAACAAGTGATGCCTTTGTTCCGTGTGTAACAAGTAATGCCTTTGTTCCGTGTGTAACAAATGATGCCTTTGTTCCTTGTGTAACAAATGATGCCTTTGTTCCGTGTGTAACAAATGATGCCTTTGTTCCGTGTGCAACAAATGATGCCTTTGTTCCGTGTGTAACAAATGATGCCTTTGTTCCTTGTGTAAAAAATGATGCATTTGTTCCGTGTGTAACAAATGATGCATTTGTTCCGTGTGTAACAAATGATGCCTTTGTTCCTTGTGTAGTAAATGATGCCTTTGTTCCGTGTGTAACAAATGATGACTTTGTTCCGTGTGTAACAAATGATGCCTTTGTTCCTTGTGTAACAAATGATTCCTTTGTTCCGTGTGTAACAATTGATGCCTTTGTTCCGTGTGTAACAAATGATGCATTTGTTCCGTGTGTAACAAATGATGCCTTTGTTCCTTGTGTAGTAAATGATGCCTTTGTTCCGTATGTACAAATGATGCCTTTGTTCCGTGTGTAACAAATGATGCCTTTGTTCCTTGTGTAGTAAATGATGCCTTTGTTCCATATGTAACAAATGATGCCTTTGTTCCGTGTGTAACAAATGATGCCTTTGTTCCGTGTGTAACAAATGATGACTTTGTTCCTTGTGTAGTAAATGATGCCTTTGTTCCGTGTGTAACAAATGATGCCTTTGTTCCGTGTGTAACAAATGATGCCTTTGTTCCGTGTGTAGTAAATGATGTCTTTGTTCCGTGTGTAACAAATGATGTCTTTGTTCCGTGTGTAACAAAGGATGCATGTGAGACATCGCTATCCTTATTAAATTCACCAACCCATATTTTGACTAAATGCTGTTTGGGGCTAAATCCCAAACTGGTGATTATCCCTTGAATGTCGGCCCCTCCCCCCTGCCCTTGTTCAGTTAGTATCCAAGCTGGATTAAAAGACCAAATCTAACTTTTAAAAGATGCCGTTATAAAAAAAGATATTTACCAACGCCAAAGCTTATGGCCGTTTATCCATTAAGATGAAAATGGTTCCTCTTTTAAAAAAAGGGGAAATTTTAGTTACACCAAATAAAGGGGACCTATAACACTCATTCATATCAATATTCATTTTAAACGTATGTAATCCCATTAAAATGGGAAGGAATTTGCAATGTTACCTTTTAAACATTTACTAGACGTGTGTCGTCGTCGTCCCCCCCCCCCCCCCCTGCTAAAAGAACTTAATCTTTTATATTGAACAACATATTATATTTTGAACAACAAAATATTGAGTATTTTAGGTTGGATAAGGAACCAGCGTTATTTCTTAGCATCGTTCCATCAAAATCGGCAGCAAATGCAAAGTCTAAATCGTTTTATTTAAAATAAAACTGGGCAGCCCCTGCACAAAAAGATGTGGATGGTATTAGTTTGAAGCCCACCAATGTTTTAAATGGGATTGTGAAACGCATGTTGCCAAAGTTTGGCCCGGATGCAACGGTTGACATAGAAGCTTTCAATGAAACCTAAGTCTTCGTATAAAAGCTTTGGACATTAGAAGGAAACTACAACGTAGAACCTCCTACCCCTTTGGAACTTTTAAAGAAAAGTAAAAAAATATTTGTAAGTATGTTGTAATAGCAATGGGGGGACAATCATAGACACTCGCAGAAACATAAGAAACATGAGAAGCACGTTTATGTAATCTTTAAAACCTTATCTTAAAAAGATCCAACGTTCTAGAATAAGAGGCTTCACGAATCTTAAAAAAGATATGGAAACCGATGCCGGGGAAACTCTCAGGGAAGTATAGACATCTATAAATATAAAACGAAACTAACATTTCTTAATCTTTATACCTACGTGGAACACTCTAGAACTTCCTCGAAAATTCTCTATATATATTTTAAACCTTCAAATGGTTTGTAAAAAAAAAAAAAGAAATCTTTTTATGTAGCTATTATCTCGAGACTAAAAAAAATAAAAAAACAAAGTGGCGTAGCATTAGAGTTTTCAATTTAAGTTATAATGAGGACCCCGATGTGGACCCGTTCTATAATGTGAAGGTTCCGTTATCACTTAGAAATGGAACTTGAATGATTGATCAGATAATTAGTAAAGTTAAAAATTGCTCCATTGAAATCGGTTGAAAAAAAATTAAGAGGTACAGCGTATGAAAGGAAAGTGAAATTAGTATTGCTATGATTTTAAAACTAATAAAACCCTCCGGTTTTCAATATAGATTTTCAAGGGTGCCAAGTTTCGTCTTGACTCTAGATCTATCCATTAAGTGTAATGCTATTTATATAGCTCATGTAAGAATAAAAAGAATTTAATCTTTCATATTTTTTGGTTGGATGCCGAACAAACTTTATTTTAACAAATTATTTCATTAACATAGGATCACGAAGGAGACCCTTTTCACAAAACAAGTGAATATTACTATTTTTGAAAACTACTGATATTTTAAAAGGGATAATGACATTTATTTTTACCAAGTTTTGTCTTGATGCAACAATTTTCATAGAAGCTTTCATTGTAACCTAAGTCTTCATGTGAGCCTATATTACGTTGGGTGTTAAAAGGAAAGTACATTATCATTTGGAAAATTTAATCTGATTTCGAAAAATTTGAGGAAAATCATAGAGATTTATTGAAACATATGTTTAAAAAAAACCATAAAAGTGACATCTTGGAATTGAAGGAGCTCATACTGAATGTATAACGTGTAAAAAAAAAAAGTAATTAAACACGTGAAATCTACTATGGAGAGAAATTATTATTCTGCCTTTGAGGCATTACTAAATGCTGATTTGTGGCTAAATGACTCACTTACGATTCTCCCGTCCACACACACACACACACACATCCAATTATATAAAGTTGATAATACAAATTAATTTTTTTTTTTAAACACCCATTACTGTAAGCTCCTACCCCAAAGCACCCTTTACGCACGCCCCTGTGTTCATTCTGTACTATTTTTTTTTTTTTTTTGTGTGTGTGTAAAGTACATAGAATAAATCCCCATCCCAGTGGCGCTACAGCCCTATTATATAAAGTTGATAATACAAATTAATTTTTTTTTTAAACACCCATTACTGTAAGCTCCTACCCCAAAGCTCCCTTTACGCACGCCCCTGTGTTCATTCTGTACTATTTTTTTTTTTTTTTTGTGTGTGTGTAAAGGACATAGAATAAATCCCCATCCCAGTGGCGCTACAGCCCATGTAGGGCTTTGGCCTGCATCTTCACTTCCTTTAACGCAGACCTAACTGATGCTTTTCTTTTCCATGCTTGTATTCCCAGCTGATGTAGATCCCCATCCACATCATGCACCCGTCTAAGCCTAAGTCTGCCTTTGACCCGTTTTCCTCTGGGGCTTTTGTGGTGCACCCTCTTTACTATCTGTTATGAGGCACTCTTCATCTGTGTCCAGCCCAGCGTAGCCTGGCCCTTTTTTTATTTCTGCTAATAGCGCGAGGTCCTGATATGGTCAATACCAGTGGTCGGCAAACTCGGTTGTCAAAAGAGCCAAAAATCAGTAGAAGGACAATTTTTTTTAAAAACTTGAGAGTCAAATTTGTTTTCAAGAACCTGTCAAGTACCATCTTTTCGGAGTCTAAATCTATTTGTGGCCCACTGGCCGAGCCGCACTCAGGTCGCTAAAGAGCCGCATGCGGCTCCTGTGCCGCCATTTGCCAACCACTTCTCTATACAATTCCTTGTTCGTATTCTCCATCCATATTCACCCTTTTTTGGTCCGAATATTTTCCTTAGAACGTTTCTCTCCCATGTGTTGAATAGGTTTTCAAACGTTTCTGTTAGGGTCCAAGATTTACTTGTGTATCTTATAACTGGTCTGAATACAGTTCAATATATTGTTTTATTAGTTTTTCTTGTAATATTTTTACTTTTGAGTATTCTCTAATTACCGAAGTATCCCCTGTAGATATTCTTTCTTTTATTTCTGTTAATAATGCATTTCTTTCATTTAATAACTTTCAAAGGTATTTGAATTGATTTACTTTTTCAAAGTCTGGTTTCTAATTTTAATAGTTTCATCTGTCTGTTTTTCACTTAACATAGTCATGTATTTTGTTTGTTTTTTTTTTTTGGTTGTTAACGTCCAGTCCTGCTTGTAGCGATGTGTCTTCTAATTCAATAACAGTGTTTGATGTATCTTTTAATTACTTTCCCCTAACATTGCTATGTCATCAGCATATGCAAGATACTGAAGTGGTTGGTTGATGATAGAGCCTATCGGTTGTGGCTCTTGATTTTCCCCCAGAGAGTATGGTTTTGAGAAAATACCCGATGGGTCCAAGTGTTACAATAAAGTTAACTTCTCATTTTGCATAGTAGTATGCTGTCCTTTAAACAATATGCCTACCGAAAGTCCTACACTCTACCTGCCAGCCTTTAAACGATAGTCTTATAGGCATTCCTACACCCCATATACTGGCCTTTTAAAAATAGGCCTACAGACAGTCCTGCACCCTACCCGCCGGCCTGTAAACAATAGGCCTACAGACAGTCCTACACCCTACCTGCCGGCCTGTAAACAATAGGCCTACAGACTGTCCTACACCCTACCTGCCGGCCTGTAAACAATAGGCCTACGGACAGTCCTACACCCTACCTGATGGCCTGTAAACAATAGGCCTACAGACAGTCCTACACCCTACCTGCCGGCCTGTAAACAATAGGCCTACAGACAGTCCTACACCCTACCTGCTGGCCTGTAAAGAATAGGCCTACAGACAGTCCTACACCCTACCTGCCTGTCTGTAAACAATAGGCCTACAGACAGTCCTACACCCTACCTGCCGGCCTGTAAACAATAGGCCTACAGACAGTCCTACACCCTACCTGTCGGCCTGTAAACAATAGGCCTACAGACTGTCCTACACCCTACCTGCCGGCATTTAAAAAACAGTCCTACAAGTATGTTATACACCATGCCCGTGACCGTTTGCGATTAAAATAATAGTCGCCTCGCACTAGAGATAAATAAATCAATCTCAACGAAGTTCAGACATCACGCACGAAAGCTCGCTGCGTGACAACCCCCCCCCCCCCCCCCCCCCCCCNCCCCCCCACTTAGTACTATTGATATAAAACATGCCGAGTTGGGGAGGGGCTGGTTGAGTAGAAGATGTGGACGAACCAGAAGCAAAATATATAAGAGATTTTTTTTGTTTTTTTTTTTTGTTTTTTTTTTAAATCGTTGCCCTTTATATTTTAGGATGCTTTTATTTACAGCTCTTGGGAAAAGGGGGCTTCTGACCAAACTTTCTATGAGCCATATATATATATATGTCTGGAGGAATGACCATGTCAAATTTGGTTGTTATCTATTTGTTTTTTGTTTTTTAATCAATGGACTTATCTACAAACAAACATAGTCACGCCGAGCTTTCTATAGCGTTTTTAAAAAGTATTTTATTTTTTAAATAATGATTTATATGTTTTTTTTAATCTTGATTTTGAAAATAACAATTTTAATTATCATGATAAAAATAATTCCAAAACCAGTTTTTGGTTAACATCCATAATTTCAACCTCATTATATTGGATTTCAACATAAATGTACTACTATTGGTTTTAATACATATTTCTTAATTTTTTTTTACAACTGAATCGTGTATCATGGCTTAAGATTTCATCTCATAACAAAACAAAAATTTTAAAGAAATATTTTTACATAATTTGTCGGAGGGAAAAAACTCAGTAGCCCCTCTTCTACTACCGAGTCGATTAACTGTGTACAGGGTACACAATACAAACCTGCAGACTTAACGCTGGGGTTAAGAGTGCAATGGCCATATATAGGATGGTCTGCAACATACCGATGACCACGACAGACATGCGGAGAAGCGATGAATCGAACCTCAGTTGCAGGTACTCGTACACACTGGTCAAGCGCAGTGGGTACAAGAGAGGGATCGCCGTGAAACAGCCAACAATGTACGACAGAGCAAAGCCAATGAGCAGTGTGGGCTGCATGGGCCCGCTGTAGTACACCTCAGATGGAGTTCCTATCAAGGCGATGGCAGACTGTGTGAATCAAAGATGGAAAATAATTAAAATAACATGCAATTTATATTTGAAACATTTTGGACCAGAAATTGGGGGGGGGGGGGGGGTAATTGAAATGAGAAGTGTATCGAGATTGATTTGTAATGCACACATTCCCTGTCAGATCATGCTTTAGCTTTTTGTTTGACTTTTTTTTTTATTTTAAAAGCAGTTATTTTAAGACCAAACAGCATACTTCAGTAAAAGAGCAACTGAAAGAAGAAAAAAACACTATTGCGATTGATGCATAAATATCCGTTCGAGGAATTTGAAGAGAGTCTTTTGGCCCATTAATGAATGACACTCACGGCAAAGGTGGCAAATAAAGATAAAGCAACGGGAATGATTGACATCCTCCGGCCTCCAAGTAAGTACTCGTCTCGTGTTGCCCTGTGGGCGTCTCGCACCGCGAAGAGAATTCCAATGCCCAGGGGAATGAGGAGCATGACGAGGGTCACGATGTAATCCACCGGCTGTAAGCTAACGTCAGGCGCCATAATGTCAGCAACCAGTTGTGGTCTTGACGCGTTTTGATGATAACACAAATTTTAAATTAAAAAACAAACTGTCCAGAAACTTGACCAGCGTCTTAATATGACCGTAACTAGAAGAAAATGGTGTAACAGAATTAATTGTGACACAAACGACTCTGCAGCCTCTTCTTTACTGTAAGGCTCTATTTTGGTAGCAAATAATGGTTGCTGATTTGTTTTTTCAGCTTCTGGAACTATCTAAGAAGTTTGCAAATCTACGCCAATGCCCGTGGACAACATTGGTATTTTAACCGTTATTTAAGAGGTGGAATATTTTAAAATATCTTCTTTTATTTTTAAATTTTCACTTAAATATCCTTTAAAATTCTTTAACTTCCCACTTCGTTTTAAAATGTTTTTTTGAAAATGCCGTCATAATATTTTAGATATATTGTTCAAAGCTGGTAAACAGTCTGTTAGAGAAGGATATTGTGATGTGATGACTCGTCAATTTAATAAAATGTGATACTCAGAGCACACGACTTCCAAATATCAAAATAAAAGCAATCCATCCCTCTATATCCATCTCTCTAAATCCGTCTCTCTATATCCATCTCTCTATATCCATATCTCTATATTCATTTCTCTATATCCATCTCTCTATAGCGGAGTAAAACAAGACATACAACGATATGGTTTTTTTTAACAGGATATAGATTCAGTCTGAGACCAAGAAACTTTTTATCACGTCATCTCTAGTGAATGCTTACTCTCATAACCTTAACTCCTCAGTCCTGCCTTCAATGGGGTGCCACACGCACGCATTCTCATAACCACAACTCCTCAGTCCTGTCTTCAGTGGGGTGCCACACGCACGTATTCTCATAACAACTTCGCAGCCCTGCCTTCAGTAAGGCACCATACTAACATTCATACCCACAACTGCGCAGTCATGCCTTCAGTAGGGCCCCCACACACACTAACTCTCATACCCACAGCTTAGTAGCCCTGCATTCAGTAGGGCACCATACACACTTATTTTCATACCCACAACTTCGTAGCCCTGCTATCAGTAGGGCACAATATACACTCATTCGTATACCCACAACTTTGAAGCCCGGCCTTCAGTAGGGCACCATACACACTTATTCTCCGTCGAGTTTTACAGTACTTCTCTATATAGGTTAAACGGCGAAACCCGAGAGACTAGGTTCAACAAGTCGAGTTGATAAGCTAGTCGATTAACTACGCCCTGTCATACAGAGGTCAAAGTCAGAGTTATTGTCGTCAAGCTACGATTGACAGTTTGCCGTTTGAGAAAAAAAAGAAGATTCGTAATGACACAAAGAATATCTGCCTTAAACACACAAAAATATAGCAAAAGGAGCTGCTTTCAAATTACTGCATTAAAAAACACAAGTTTCTATTATCCTACTCATTCTGTTTGACGTAAAATGCATCGTATTGGTTTTTAATGGTAAATTTTCAGCTTCATATTTACACAATTCAATCACATGAGCAATTTAATTCACGGGTTTAAGATAGTCTTTTGTCGTACTGTCATGAATTGTAGTCCTACTACTTCGTCTCCGACTCCGGATTATCGATTGTGGCTCAAAACTCAAACTACAACATTGTTATGGTTCCTATATATGGCCAATAAAATTATGAAATATGAAACACATGGTGGGAAAAACTTGAGACAATGATAAAAAAAATGTAACGAATGTGTCGGCAATACGCCTTCTTCGGTGGAAAAAAAAACGGTAAAAAAATAAAGACGTACACAATTGGAAGAAAAAAGGGGGAGGGGTAAGAAAAAAGAAGACCTGATCGTATGCTGTGTCCGAAAGAAAACTTAGAAACGACCATAAGGTGAGACCAATTTTTATATAGTATATGTAGTGTTAATAATAATAAGAGCAATTATTAGTATTATAACTTTGACATCAGCAGCAACAAGAAGAAGTTTAAATGTAGCTGCAAATAAATTTTCAGGAAGATGAGATTTATAAAAACAAAATCATTGAACAACTCAATGTAAGTTTTGTGAGTTCCTGCCCCCCACCCCCACCCCCCCACCCCCCCAAATCCTACCCCTCATTTTCTTGGTGTGATTTGTTTGACTTATTTACTGGGTTGGGTGGGGGACATCCTTTTGATCACAACTTTCTGATCCAACTCTCAGATGGTGTACCCATAGTTTTGCTTGCAATTGAAGAAAAATCCATCCAGCAATAACCTATTTTGGTAGGTCTTTCAATCCCAGTGTGTTGATTGTATGCCCACGAAACGTGTGACCGTCATGTGGATTCAGAGACCTGTGTAAACATATTAGTGTTAATTAAGTGTATTGACATGATTGATGTGTGAAGCTCTTGGTGAGATAATGAGTCTGAAATGGATTCACACCAAGCTGTGCGCTTGTGCAACTAATGTCAAACTGAAATGATTTCACATCAAGCTGTGCGCTTGTGCAACTGATGTAAAACATTTTTTTAGACAACATCGGAGATGTCAATGGAATGTCGGGGGAAAGGAAAAAAAAAACAATCCCTAAAAATAAAGTTTTTCTTATGAATTCTTCATAAAATGTAACATCGAGCAATGGGGGCGGGGCTGACAATTTGACAAAAAACACGCCAACTAGTAACGCACTTGATAAGAATCCCAATTAGTGCTCACACCCCCACAAGGCTCGCCACCGTACATTTTGTATAATCGCCCCAGAACTATATTTATTTCAATGGCCCACCCGCTCATACACCAAAGCTTCATTTCACCAGATAGTTCAGAAGAAAAACCAATTTAAAAATATTACGCACCAAATGCATGTGCGATTTTATTTATTTTTTTTTTAATATAAAAAAAAAAATTAAGAATTTCGTTTGGCGCAGTTATCGGGAATTTTATTTCGTGAAATCAATGGCATCATATCTCCTTCATCTTTTCCTTGAAAAACAGGAAAAACTGATTTTGGGGGTTTTGGGTTGGGGTCGGGGCTGAAGATTTGAAAGAATGTGTTGCAATGTTTCAGCTCGAAAGCTTGACGGGAAGTGGGTCCGAATATTTTGACATACACTTATCTAGAAAGAAACACGAACAAAAGTGAAATTAATATATAGGATTTAAAAATGGAAACGGTGATATCACCATACAGAATCGAATGCAGCCTTCTGTGAATCTTTATATTTCTATGAAATAAGTCAGTGTGCTGTATTTTTCCCCGACTCGCCAATATAAAGTTGGTACAATATCTTGGATCAAACAGTATCAAACTTTGTCCCCACTTTGAATTGATTATCTTAAGTTGGATGCAGCTTTGAACTAATTAATACTGCTATCTGCTGTTTAGCAGATCTAATATGTAGACAATATATTAGAATATACCGTTTTGGTGTCACTGCCTAGACAAACAGTACAGAGGTTAGACTTAATGTCGTTATGAAGAAAAGATTATTTAGAAGAAGTAAAAAAAAACTTATTTTCCAAAAGAAATACCACGATGCGTGGAATCATGTGAGACAGTTCAGCCCCCATTTCGAACCATGTCTGTGACCAACACACACTGAGGTCCGTCAGTGATTCGCTCAGACCTCACACGATACGCTATTAATAGCAGAGCTATGGAGTCGGCACATTTTGCTTTTATTACTCCTGCTGTAAGATTCTGATATTTTACATTACGAAGCAAGTGGGGGGTTTTTATTTTAAAAAGTATACGGCCAGGGACATCAGTGCCCATCATGTTTTTCCTGGATAGTTCTTTTTTTTTTAAATGGGAGTTCAATAAGTTGTTTTTTTAAACGATTCTTAGTCTCCCCAAAATAAGTGCGCCTCTTCCACTCCGATTACACATCCCTGGGTATAAGAGATCACGTGGGCTCTTACGGCGATGAGACTGCTGTGACATTCTACATCATGTGTCAAGTCCTGGCAGCGGTGGTTGTTCTTTTCATCATTGTCACAGGTGAACAAAAAATTACATTTTTAGCTAAGATTGCGTATCATAGTTAACATAACTACCAAATTACTTTTTTTTTTTTTTTTATCAAGAGAAGTTAAATGTGTTTCTGTGGTACTGTGTATGTTGTTTTCTTTAATAAATGAATCTAGTCGGTCTTTTGTGGCCCTACATTTATTTAGGTACATGTACTTTGAATATTGAAGACTTGGCAAAATTTTGAACAAAAAATTACATTTTTAGCTAAGATTGCGTATCATAGTTAACATAACTACCAAATTACTTTTTTTTTTTTTTTTATCAAGAGAAGTTAAATGTGTTTCTGTGGTACTGTGTATGTTGATTTCTTTAATAAATGAATCTAGTCGGTCTTTTGTGGCCCTACATTTATTTAGGTACATGTACTATGAATATTGAAGACTTGGCAAAATTAGCTAATCAGTAGATTTATTATTTTATTTTAAGTAAGTTGAATAAGATTATATCCAATGAATTGCGAGCTGCTGAATTTTGTTCTTAAACTCCCCTAACCAGATACGAAGTGGGTCACTCTAAGAAATACATATATATTTGTTTAAATCTCCGATCAATTATTCACTGACATTGAAAATAGAGGATTTTTTAAAAACACCATCATTTCAAGGAAGCCTTAATTTCTAGTAGCACCTTTAATGTTAATCACTGATTAAGTGTAGAAGGATGCAAAACTAAATTCAAATTTGCGCCAAAATGTATCCCCCGATTTTTAAACAGTCAAACTTTTCTGGAGAGGGGCTCATCGAGTCCCCCCCCCCCCTCTCCAAAGCCCCAACCTACTTTCGCTCCATCCACTTTATTTTTTTTAGTTTTTATTGTTTTATAATTTATATTTGAATATATTTTTTTTAAAGTAACAGAATAGCGTACCGTACCTGCTCATATCGTTACAAAAAAGAACTGCTTACAAGAGATGAGAATCAATCGAACCCGACTCGATTACATCGAAGTCGAACACACCGAACTCGAACCCTGTTAACGACGAACCAGAATCGATCTTCTAAAGAGGGTTCGATTCCCATCT